GACAAAAGCAGATGTGCCCAAACTCAGGGACGGTTGTCACAGGAAGGGAATTGCCTTCTAACCGAGGAGCGAGCAGAACTGTGCCAGGGGGGGTGTGGGTGGTACCTGCTGCTGTTGACCAAAATCTCCGTGCCTTTGGCTCAAAGCATCCACGGGCTTTGGAGCTGCCGGGGGCTGGCGGGGATTAACGTCTCTCCCCACGTCGGCTGCAGGGATCAAACGCCTTTAACAGGATTCAGCCTGGAATCAGGGGCGGAGTTGCTGTAGGAAGGGGAGAGCCACAGAGGAAAAGGACTGACCCTGAATTGAAGACGTTTACTTGGCCTTGCCCTTGAGGCCACCTCATGAGTGACTTCCTACCAGCACACCTACTTTCCCGAATCTTTCAGAGACACAGCCCTTTTTCCTCTGGCCCTAAGCTATTCAATCTCCTGCTGGACTATGACACACGACCCCTCCCCCCGCCCGCCTCACCCCGCCGCGCACCACTTCCAGTCTTCTCCTGTTCTGCGCGTCCTCCTACAATTTTCTCCCACCAGCGAGAGAATGACAGCTTTTTTCAACTCACACTCAGGGAGCGCGCTCTTCACTAAAATAAGTCTCCATCTTTCCAATCACCATCTTGCCCCACTCTCCTCCTCACTCATTATGTTCCAATCACTAGTCTTTTTTTTTTCCCCTCTCTCTTTTGAAGTTGTGAAGTCTTTTCCTGGCCTCCAGACCTTTGAACTTGCTAGTTAAAAAATCTTGCCTGGAAACTTCCCAGATCTTTCACGCGGCTTGGCTCCTTAAATAAGGTCACAGCCTAAATGGACTTCCTATAGAAGACTTTCTGACACCCTCTAACAGGCCATCTCCACGGCCCATCACTCACTGGAAATTTTTGTTTATTTCTTTAAGACAAGTCTTGCTCTGTTGCCCAGGCTGGAGTGCAATGGCACAATCTCAGCTCACTGCAGCCTCTGCCTCCAGGGCTCAATTGATTCTCCTGCCTCAGCCTCCTGTGTAGCTGGGACTACACGTGTGTGCTACCATGCCTGGCTAATTTTTGTATTTTTCATAGACATGGGGTTTCACCATGTTGCCAAGGCTGGTCTCGAACTTCTGAGCTCGAGGCGATCCACCCACCCCTGCCTCCCAAAGTGCTGGGATTACAGGCATGAGCCACTGCACCCTGCCTGGATTTTCTTTATACTATATTTGATGGCTAGCTGAAATTGTTTAATTGTTTGATTTGGGGTTTATTTGTCCCTTTCCCTCTACTGGATTGTAAGCTACTTAAAGGCAGAGACTGTATCTTTCGTATTCATCCTCTGTGAGGTGTTGAGTAAGTATTGGTTGAATGGATGAAGGAACGAATGAATGCTTCTTAGCAAAGCTTCACTAAAACTTGATGTGGTGGGTATCACTGTGTCCATTTTATGGATGAGGAAACTGAGGCTCAGTGAGCTCAAGTCACACAACTAAATATTAGCACTGGCTGGCATTTCCCAGGCACCAGCATAAAATGGGCAGGCCTTTTATGCTGTACCTCTTTCATCTCACTTGTTCCCTACAGCAGCCCAGGAGGGCAGGACTATTATTGCCTACATTTTATAATCAAGAAACTGAAACACAGAAACACTAAGTAACTTGCCAAAGCTCACATAGCTGAAAGGGCTGGGTTACACAGATCTGATTGATTTGGTTTCCGTTTTTTTTCAGTGCAGCAAATATTTACTGTGTGCCAGACATGGGACAAGTCAGAGACCCTGCCCTCTGGCAGCTCTCAACCCTGTGTCTCATCTCCTTTCTTAAATCTCTGAGCTCTCCTACTCAGACACTTGGAAAACCAAGGAAAATTGCTACAGGGTATGTGCGTGTGTGTTTGGAAACACCTAAACTCAGAGCTCTGAAAGCCACCATATGCACGTCCTTGGGATGTCCCCTGCCTCCCTGGGCCCCTTACCTTGCACGGCTAGCTCGGCACTGGCGTAGATGGTACCGTGCTTATTCTCTGCCACACACTGGTACATGCCCGAGTCCTCCAGGCTCAGCTTGGAGAACCGCAGGTCCCCGGCCAACACCTCCACCCGGTTCTGTGCAGAAGAGCCCAGAGCCCAGGGGCATCAGGACCACTGGAGCCACAGGGAGGAGGGGTTGGCAGGGGTGGGGGCAGTGGAGACTCTAGGCTGATAATCCCTAGAGGATATGGCTCGTATGTCCAGTCCTACCTCAGGGCCACCTGGAACCTCAGGATGCAGATTACCCAGGCCTCCCCAAAGCTGGAAGGGTGAGGTGATCCAGTCAGGACCACATCACTTCTTTTGTGGCTGAATTGTGCCTGGATCCAGGCCCAGCCTGTGGCCATGGGACTGGGATGGGAAGAAGTCCTCAGGTGGTCCTAGGACCACCCTTTGGCACCCTAATTAGCCCAGAGGGCTACTAGTGGTGCAGGGGAAGTTCTGGGGGGTGAGGGAACCAAGTGAGCAGAGGGCAGTTATGTGTGGGAGGAATCCCACGTCTCCTACCTGGGAGGCCAGAGGCTCCCCGTTCCGCAGCCAGCGCACTGTAGGCCGGGGCTTGCCGGCGGCTGCACAGCCCCAACGCAGGTTGGAGCCAATGTCAGCCTCTGTGTCCGAGATCACTTTCAGCCACTCAGGCTGAGCTGTGGGAGCCCGGAAAAGAAAACCTGGCATGAGCTAGGAGGAGCTTCCAGCTCATTAAAAGGAACAGAAAATCAGGGCAGCAGTACCTGTGCCAGACAGCAGAGGGTGCCATCAGCATTCTGGGACGGAGAGGACAAGGAGGAGGGGGCAGGAAGAAGGAGGCACAAGAAAGCTGGCACTCTGTGGTTGTGCCAGTGGCTGCTTTCACAACTTAAATCGTTCTGGAGCCTCCTGTGTGCTTTCTGCACCCCTGACTGAAGCTCTGAGCTGACCACAGCACTAGCTTCTTCTGGTCCCAGATTCAGTGCCGTCCTAGGGCAAGCAGGCTCATGCAGGGGGCCTCCCAGTCTCCTCCCTGACTTTTGGGTCTGTTTCCTTGGGGACAAGGGTGAAGGCAGGAAGGGGGGTCGGGAGGGGCGGAGAAGGTGTCCCTGGCTCTGTACCCTGCACGATGATGCGGCCCTGCACGGTGTCTCGGCCCTTGGAGTTCTCCGCCTCACACTCGTAGGTGCCCTCATCCTCAAAGCTGACGCTGGGGATCTGCAGGGTGGGCTCAGCTGTGGTCCACTGTGGGGACAAGGAGCCGTCCACTTTGCGCCACTTGATCCGGGGTACAGGGCTGGCAGGAGAGACAAAGCCAGAGGGTGTGGGCTAAGCTGGGCCTACCCCTCCAGTGCCCACAGCTCCTCATACCCAGACTCTGAGGCCCTCCTGAGATGCTGGGCCTGGGAGGAACAGAGGGAGAGAGGGTGCCTTCTGGCTGATCCTCACTCTCTTCTCCCAGGTAGGCTCGGAGCACACGCAGGGAAGGGGCAAGAGGCAGGGCTCCTCTACCCATCCCTCCTGCAACACCCTCGAGCCAGTGAAGCTGGGCTTCTGCGGGGTCTGCACTCTGAAGCTGGGTCTGCCCTCCGCCACAGTGGCCTGTGACCTGGGTCTTTATGGGTTCTCTTTTCCGTTGCTTCTACAGGGCAAGCCTTGCCCCTACTTTTCAAAGAGACTTTAGCTATTAGTAATCTGTGCACTAAAACGGACTGAGGTATCAGTTTTAATGGGTTAATATATTCCTCTTCCACATGCTTTTCTTTTTTTTCTTATCTTTTTTTTTTTTTTTTCAGATAGAGTCTCGCTCTCTCTCCCAGGCTGGAGCGCTGTGGCGCAATCTCAGCTCACTGCAAGCTCCGCCTCCCGGGGTCACGCCATTCTCCTGTCTCAGCCTCCAGAGTAGCTGGAACTACAGGTGTCCACCATCACGCCCGGCTAATTTTTTTGTATTTTCAGTAAAGATGGGATTTCACTGTGTTAGCCAGGATGGTCTCAATCTCCTGACCTCGTGATCTGCCCGCCTCGGCTTCCCAAAGTGCTGGGATTACAGATGTGAACCACTGTACCTGGCCCCCGTTCCACATACTTTTCATGTGGATTTTCTGGAAGCCCAAAACTTCCCACAAGGCAAAGATTATCCCAGGTAACCACAGGAGATAGTTGAGGGAGGAGGGGGCCAAAGTACAAATCACATTCTTTCTGTCATTCTACAAACATTTATTGAGCACCTGCTGTTTGCTTAGCCCTGTTCCAGTGAATCCTTCTAGGAGTGCAAGAAAGAGAACGCTTTCTGTTGTGATTCTCAAATAGGTCACTGTTAACGTTCACGGAGCACTTTCCTAAATTCCAGGCACTGTTCTCAGCACCTCACATGTATGAACTGATTTAATCCTCATGACAACCCTATGAGGTGGGTACTATTAACACCACCATAAAGAAACTGAGGCACAGAGAGGTTAGGCAGTTTACCCAAGGTCTGCGGGTGGCAGAGCTGGGATCTGAACGAGGCAGACGGGGTTGGAGTCTGTACACTGTGCTGCCTGCCTCCAGCCTTGGGTGTTACTCAAGCTGTCTGAGCCTGCCATGCGCTGCTGGAGGACCAAGTGATTCTGGCCGTGGAAGGCCCCTGGCACATGCAATGCCTCACCCAGAGAGTTAGTGTCCAGTGAGTGGTGGTCGATGCCCACTGTGTGCCCAGTACTTTGCTAGACCCTGTGAGGGACACCAGGATGACAGCCCTGACTCTGCCTGCCCTCACCCTGGGGTCACCTGTGCCCCCAAGAGACTGCCCTGGTACCCCTCCCTTTTCACACTCACTTCCCAAAGGCAAAGCACTCCAGGGTGACCTGCTGCCCCACCAGTGCATAGGTCTCTGCTGGGAACCGGGCCTTGATGCTGGGTGCAAAGAGCCGGGTATCTGGGGAGAGAGAATTTTACAAATCAGATGCAGATGACTCCAGGTCAGGTGCTACCGTGCTTGGGATCTCAGCACCTTTCAGAGCCAACTATGTCTTGGCAGCTGTGTGGAATCTCCCTGAGGCCTAGGGCAAGGGCCTGAGGATTTGAAGCAGGAGGATCTGGGGGTCCAGGGCCTGGAATCAGTGCCCTGCAAGCCAATCTTCCAATCTCCAAAGGAAAAACCCTTTTCCCAATGCCCGCTGACCCTTCCAGTTCCCTCCCTCCCGCCATGCCTGGCCGAGCCTGACCTTCAGCAGCCAGGTTGAGCTGAGCAAATTTGCTGAAGACGCTCTTGGTGGAGAAGTCCATGTGGCTGGTGGCCAAACAGGAGTAGTTGCCCAGGTCTGAGGCATTGGTTCGGGCAATGTACAGATTCCCTGTGGTCTGGGACACGAAGTGACGCCCGTCCGTCGGGATGAAGTTGGGGAACTCGTTGAGGAGCCAGCGGTAGGACAAGCCTAGGATGTGAGGAGTTTGAGGAAACCAGGGGGGTACCGGGCTAACAGGACCACTCTGGGTGGGACCCCAGCATGCTGGTGGGGTTCTGCAAGCCCTGTCCTGACAGCCACCATGCTCTGAACTGGGGCTAAGGGGAGACCTAGAGGGAAGAAGTGACTATTCCTGCCCTTAGAGAGCACTAAGTCTGTCAGGGATCACAGCCCTCAGGGACCACCCAGTTTGAAGGTGGAAGCAGGGCACAGAGATGGAAAATGACAGACCCGTAAAGAAAACACAGATCATTTAAAATTAGGGTCCCAGGGATGGGTGCTTCTAAGGGTCATTTCCAGGGGTCACCTTTTATTCCATCCTCCTTCTGCCAAATTTCTGGTAGCCCTTCTTGTGCCCTCTCTCACCGTGGCCCAAGGTCTGGACTCACCTGGGTAGTGGGCAGGTGGGTTACAGGGCAACATCACCCCCCAGCCTTCATGAGTTTTCACTGGGTCTCGCTCCTCCTTGGAGAATTCCTGCAGAACTGGAGGCAGAGACCAGGGGCTCAGGCACTGTCCTCCTGGCCTGTGAGCCCCTCCCTGACTCATCCTTCACGGAGAAGCAGCAGTTCACTAAGGCATGTCATGTGAGGTCAGGAAGGCCTGGCTTGAGGGTGTCACTTGTCCTTTCTGGGCACTTTCTCCTAGCCCCCTCTCCCCCTCCCGCAAAGTGTCTTGGTCCCCTGCGGGTCTCACAGCCGAAGCGGAGGATGGCCTCCCTGCTGACAACGGTGCCCACTGGGTTGGAGGCCAGGCACTGGTAGACCCCGGCATCCTGTGCCTTGGTGGGGTTCATGATGACCAGGTTGCCCCCCACTAGCTGGTGACGGGAACCTGGCTCCAGCTTCATCTCGGTGCCATTCATCTTCCACCTGCAGCAGGGGACGGAGGAAGGGGACCTCTGAGTCCTGCCTGGTGGCAGGGCTGATGAGAGGGAAGGTTCAATGGCTGCCCAGGGCCTCCCAGCACCCACTGCAGAGGCCTTACCGATAGGTGGCTGGAGGGCTGGCCCGGGCACGGCATGCCAGCAACACCTGCTCCTCCGTGGACTCCTCTGGGAATAGCACACTGAGGGGTTGGTCTTCAAAGACAGGCCCAAAGGTGGTTGGGGATCCCAGGGCTGAACTCCAAGCTGCAGGTGATGACACCACCAGAGGCCTCAGAGCCTGGGCCTGGCCAGAACCTGGCCTCTTGGGCTGCGCTGTCCAGTAAAACTTTCTCTGATGATGGGAATGTTTCATTTTCTGCACTGTTCAATGTGGTAACCACTAGCCACGTGGGGCTATTGAGCACGTGACATGTGGCTATTGCGACTGAGGGACGACATTTTACATTTTATTTAATTCATTTAAATTTCAATTTAAATAGGCTGGGCAGGCCCCATCTGGCCATATCAGTTCAGTCAATCACCCATCCTACACTCAGGTATTGAGCACCCGCTCTATACCCAGCACTGGGCTAGAGACTGGCTTGTAAAAATGATTAAGACACAGTCCCTCTTCTTCAAGGGGCTTGTGGTCCAAGGAGGGAAACAGGAAATTGGCAGTGTAAGGTGGCAAATGCCATAAAGTTCAAGGTGCTGGGGCCTCAGAATGGAAGCAGTTCTACCTCTCAGGGGGCTTTCAAGGGAGCCTTCCAGAAGAACTGATCTGTGGGGTGTGAGGTGCATGAGACATTGCCAGCCACAAACATGCAGAGAGGATGTGTGTCCCTGGAGCCTAATACCCTTACCGGGGCAGTGTGGACCCGAAGCCTGGGCCTGGGGACTAGACTGGCCCTCTACTAGCCGTGGGACCTTGGGAAAGTTATGGAATCCTTCTGAGCCTCAATGTCTTCACCTGTGATATGAAAAGAATATGAATTCACCTCCCAGGGTCTGCTTGAGGATTCAGCCAGACAAACCCTTGGAAGGTGGCGGGCAAGCAGATGTCTGCTGGAGCCACGTGTTGGGTGGGGACTTGGAAGAGAAGGTGGGTGGAGGGTGGGCAGTTTGCTTTGATGGGTGGAGGGTGGGCAGTTTGCTTTGGTGGGTGGAGGGTGGGCAGTTTGCTTTGGTGGGTGGAGGGTGGGCAGTTTGCTTTGGTGGGTGGAGGGTGGGCAGTTTGCTTTGATGGGTGGAGAGTGGGCAGTTTGCTTTGGAGGCAGTTTTATACAATTCCAGTATCACAATTCAAGAAATGTTCAGAAAGGGAGTGACTTGCCCATGGTCACCCAGCAGGTCTGTGGCACAGACAGATCAATTCCTCCTGAGCTTGGTGGACCAATGAGTACCACACAGGCAAATGGGGCAGACCCCTCTCTTCATGCATCATTGTCCTGCTGCAGGGCAGGGCAGGGGATGAAGAGCCACAGATTGGCCGGACATCGCACCTGCCTTTTGACAGGGCTGGGGTGGGCTCTCTGCTGACCGGTGAGGCCAGTCCGTTTTGCCTCTGCCGTGTCAGGCGGGAGCCTATCCCTAATTGGCTTCTACCTCTTAACACAGCTGATTTCAGGCCTTCCTTGGTGGGTCATGGGGAAAGGGATCCCCATTAACCAATTAGCTCCTTTCCCAGCGCATCCAGCCATCAGTCCTCTTCCAGGGGTAGGGGGTGGCCCCATGCTGCAGCTGAGGCCCAGTCCTGGCCCCCTGGGAGTGAGGGCAGCTGCTAAGCAGCTCTCAGAATGAGGTAGGAGGCAGGGCTCCCAGAAATGGCCTGGTGCAGGCATCCCTTGTGCCATTCTCCCTCACTGCCGCCCCAGGCCTCAGAGGCGGAGGCGGCGGGCGGTGACGGCATCATCTCGGCTGGAGAGCCCAGCTTAATCCCAAGTTAATGATGGTGGTGTAGGGTAGGAACCCTGCCCCAGCTGGCACTGCTGGGAGAGGGGGCAAAGGAGGGGCTGGGAGGCAGCCGGGCTGCTGGGAACCACCTCGTACAATAGCAGCTTCCAGGAGCTCTGGGTGATGGCGTGGCTGAGTGGGCTTGGGTCACGTTGATACATTCAGACTCTTTCTTCCTGAGAAACCTTTCTCCTCTGCTCTCAGCCGTCCACTCACCCAAATATTCACATACACGCCCCTCTGCATCTCTCACCTCCATACATTTTCTTATATGCACACTCATATCATACATAAATTTGTATATATGCACCTCCCTAAGCTGCTCAAATGGCCAGATACACACATTTACACACACATCCATTTCCCCCCGACACACAGCTATAGATGGCCATGGAGACTTTTATATATAATCCATGCATTCATAATAATAAAAATAATAATAAAAATAGGTGCTATCGATGGAGTGCTTACTATTTATCCCATGCCATGCTCCATATTTCCTTCTCATAACCTCTTTACAAGATAGGTATTGCCATTTTCTTATTTTCCTGATGTGGAAGCTGAGAGTTAGAAAGCTTTAATAACTTGCTCCAGATCCCACAGCTTGAAGGAGCAGATCTGGGGGTTTGGACCTTGGCCAGGCTGACCCCACCACCAGCATTCTTAACCCCAGTGTCCCTGACTCTTGACCTCTGTTTCCCATCAGAACCACCAGAGGCCCTGCTCCATCTCACAGATAAGGAGTCAGAATCTCTTGGAGTGAGGCTTGGGAGTCCAAGTCTTAGAAAATGCCCCTGGGCATTCTGCAGGGAGGCTGAGGTATGAGAGCTGGTCGCACTGTGCTGTGAGACTTTCTGGACACATTCATTATCCCCAGCATAGCACCACCTCCATGCAGACACCTCACTCATACCTCCAGCCTCTCAGCCATCCATATCCACAGACACCCTCACACACCCACACTTACCTCTTCAGCTACATACACACCCACCCACACATGAGCCTTCCCGTGTGTGTGCTTACACATGCACACACAAAAACACACTCTCTGCCTGTAATCCCAGCACTTTGAGAGGTGGAGGCGGGAGGATCACCTGAGGTCGAGAGTTTGAGACCAGCCTGGCCAACATGGTGAAACCCCATCTCTACTAAAAATACAAAAATTAGCCAGTGTGGTGGCGGGTGTCTGTAATCCCAGCTACTTGGGAGGCTGAGGCAGGAGAATCACTTGAACCCAGGAGTCAGAGGTTGCAGTGAGCCGAGATCACACCACTGCACTCCAGCCTGGGTGACAGAGTGAGACTCCATCTCAAAAACAAAACCCCAAACAACAACAACAACAACACACACTCTCCCAGGCAAGGCCAGCCCTTCCTTATTCTTGTTCCGCATCCTCTCTGATTCTTTTCTGATGCCCTGTCATGGTAACTGTTCCCCCAAACACAGGCATCAGAAACCTTGCAGAGGAAGGGAGTTAGAGAGACGAGAAGGTGGAGGGGGATCCTTGATACTCCTCCTTGCAATGGAGTGCCAGGAATCCACAGCTATATCCTGAGGACAGGGCAGCAAGAAAAGCCCAGAGCTGAGGCACCTTCCCAGGAGGGGTGGCGGCCAGCGATGGGATTTGCCACTCCTGTCTCTCTCTGGAGCTCTGGGAGGTGGCAAAACAGATCCCAGCCCCTTGGCCATTGGCTTCATGTGTCTCTGGGTCTGAGGACCTTGGAGGCTGTCCGTACCCCTTTCCTTAGATGGTGTAGATCCAGCACTGAGGCGTCCCCGAGGGAGGGGATGCTAGAAGCCCAGGTGCCTCCCCTCTGCTCCTTCTGGGGTTGGCATCTCCTGCTCTGTGCAGTTGAGGCTCCCCATCCCTGTAGCTCTTCCCAGTCTGGTGGACCCTGGGACAGGTAGCGAGGCCTGGGGGGCTAGGTGGCTCCCCCCACACTCTGAGTCAGCCCTGTTTCCCAGCAGCCTCACTGACTGAGCCGCAGGACTGGGAAGCAGTGAGGACAGAATGAGAACATCTGAAAATATGCCAGTGGAGTCCTTCCCTGGTGAGACAAAGGAACTGAAATGCACAGGCTGTAGCCTTCCAGGGGGTGTGGGGTGGGGGAGGTGGAGTCTGAGGTGCTTAGAACTCCAGGACCATGGAGACTCCCACGGGGATGTTTAAGGAGAAAAGAAGCATCTATTGATCTGGGCTGAGGGTCAGGGTAGAGGCCAAGCAGTGGGTCCAGCAGACCCCTTAGAGCAGGAGGTGGCTGGGGACCTCCCTCTTGCCCTAGGACAGACCAGCTGCCTGGCTCCTCAGGCCTGACATGCTCGCCAGAGTCCAGCTGGCCTGTGACTCTCAGCCTGCCCTCTTCACCCTCTCCTTCCCCTCCTGCCAGTGTCCCTCTGCCTCTCCTCCAAGCTGGGAGCTCCCCTGGGAGGAGAACCTGAGCTCCCTCCTCTGCCACATCTCTTTCCAGATCCTGTTCTATACTTGATCAATTTGCTGGGATGCAGCATTGCCTTAATAAACCCTTTCAGCGTTTACTGGGATTGACCGCCGTCTGCTCATATCAGGGGACTACAGAGCCCTGTCTGGGAGAACGTCCTGCAGTGATGGAAATGTTCTGTGCTCTGTGCTATCCAATACGGCTACTGAACATTCGAATGTGGCTAGTGAACCTGAGGAAATTATTTTTAAAATGGAATTGAATCTGAGTTGTAGTAGTCCCATGTGGCTATTACCTTCCATATTGGACAGTGCAGCCTTTGAGGCTGCAACTCCGGGTGATATTATGGAGATCTGGGCATGCCATCGTCTTGCTGTGTGACCCAGGGCAAGCCACTCACCCTCTCTGGGTCATTCTTCCTTCATCTATAACACGGCAAAGACATATTCCCTTTCCTCCTAAACTCAAAGGAAAGGTAAGATCTACAAATGGGAAATTTTAGCAAGGAAATGGCCTCAGAAATCTAGCTGCTCCTACAATGCAGTCAATGATTTCTGTAATTGTCACCCAAATCATAGCAAGGATATAATGCTATAATCATGCCTGCTAGGCTTCAAAGCCCAGATGAGCCCTCTTACCTGAAGAGGAGACAAGGGCCACAGCAGCTACCAGCAGCAGGTGTGGCTTCCTCCTGGTGGCTGTCCCCATGGTGGATGTCCGGGCAGAGGTGGGGATCGGAGGAGAAGGGCCTCAGCTCAGCTTGGGGACAGCCCAGCTGGAGGCTGAGAAGGACCTGAGGAGGCAGACAGACAGGAGGGCTCTGAGCTGAGGAGCGCCCCTCCCAGCTCCAGGCACATCTGGGTCTCTAAAGCTTTTACCTCCGCCTGGGGAGCTGCCAGAATTGCCCAAGCACTAATTCTCCCCAGGGTCCCAGAGGAAGGGGCTTGGCTATTACCAAGAAGCTCTTCCTGGGGCTGAGTGCCTCCTACTGGTCCCCTGGGAGTCTGGCTCAGCCCTATACCCCCACCTGCCCGCACTCCAGCCAGCGGGGTGCCGCTTAAGAAGTGAAAGCAGAGATTAATTGGGAGGTAAGAACCCACCTGCCCTCTCGCCCGCCTGTCAGCTCTTGAGGCGAGGTTGGAAGAGAACAGGACCCTTGCCTGGGTTGGAAGTCAGTAACGTCTTCCTCTGGCAGGCGGGCTTGGGGCCGACTTTCCCCCTGCCTCTTCCCCTCAGCTGTCTGGGTGGGGGCTAATAAACCCCTCTGGGAGCTGCCTTAAGTCTCCCGGTCTTGTTTTCCTAGCAGTGAGGAGGGGTCTCACTGATTTGTCCACACCCTCTTACCAGCGGAGTCATGACCTTGGCCCCATTAGCAATGCCCCCAACCAGATGGGTGAAGGGGCCCAGCAGGCTTTCTGGGTCAAAAGAGTTAACGCAGCTCCCAGAGGAGCCTCCCTCTTTCACAGAGATGAGCTGAGGCTTGGTTCAATCCTTGAGCTCTGGAGAAGAACCTGTTCCCTGTAGCTGCTGAGAGCAAGTCAGACACCTGTCCCATCAGTCTGAGAGATGGGGCCTCCTCTTGGGAGGTGAGGGCAGGGGCAGAGCCAGCCTCCCCGTTCACTCCCAGTCCCTGGGAGGACTTTCCTAGTTCAGAGGGGAGTGTGGAATGTCAGGGGCCTGCTTTCCAGTTACTGGTTATCAGAGTGAACCTGGGTCACTGGGCTCAGAGCCTCCACAGGGATCAGCGAGCCCGGCTGCAGATTCTGCTGCTCTGCTCTGCCTGCCCTCTTTGCAGAAACCTAAGAGCAGTGGGAGGGGGTCAGGGCTTGGGGAGAGAGCCTGGCTGGGGGCCCTTTTGCAAACTGCCGACAAGATCCCTCCCATCTCTGGATCTCAGTGTTCCGCCTCTGGTGATGCCCCCAGAATGCAGAGTGGCCAAGGGCCTGGGAATGCTGTCCCCTAGATGGGGACCCCGGGTGGAGAAGGAAGGCTGCAGAGGACCTAAGATTGCTCCTTGGGCCTGTGCGGGGGCTGAAGGCCAGTGCAAGCTCAGGGTCTGCCCTGCCTCACATCACACTCTAGTCCCTCAGGAAGAGAGCTCCCGAACCCCTTTAACCCTCCACATCTGATCACTCTACAACCTTTTCCTGCCTCTTTCACAGCCACAGCTGGCACCCAAAGGAGCCTGGGAGAAGAGAAGGGAGAGGTGGCCCCAGGGCCTGTCAGGAAGGATATGGGCAAGGAAGCCAAGAAGCTGGGTGTTTTGCAGAGGGCAGGGCGTTGGAGCAGATGGCACTCTCTCCTCCACCCCGACTGCAGCCTCATATCCACTTCCCATTGACAGGCAGGGTGCCCAGGTGCCAATTCTCCCTGAATACCTGTTCCTCCCTGCCCTTGCCACTCTCAGTTCCAGACTTGAACTGAAGACATTCTGCACTTGCAACCCCTCTGACATTCCCCCAGCCCATCTATCTCCATTCTCCCGTGACGCCCTTCCTGGGCAAGGCAGTCTCTCCTGCAAGGCCCTGTCCATGTCTCACCCCTGCCGGGAAGTGCCTAAGATGCCCCTGTCTGCACAAAGAATTCAGTTCACTCTGTTCTTGACTACACCTTTGGTACCCTGCCTGTGGACCTGTGTCCGTCTCCATTAGAAGGTTCTCAGCTGCCCAGGGGAGTGATTGTGTTGTGTTCATTTTGGTATTACCTACGCCTAGCAAAGTACCTGGCACATCATAGTTGTTACTTGTATGTTGCATTTAACTGGTCAAGAACAACTGTGATTATATGCCTCCAGGAGCCAGTGAACACATGCGTGGGCACACGTGATGGGGCTCATGCAGATGCTCCTTGACTTACGATGGGGTTACATCCCGATAAACTCACCAAAAGTTGAAAATATCGTAAGTCGAAAATTCATTTAATACACCTAATCTACTGAATATCATAGCTTAGCCTAACCCACCTTAAATGTACTCAGAAGGCCGGGCACCGTGGCTCATGCCTGTAATCCCAGCACTTTGCGAGGCTGAGACGGGTGGATCACCTGAGGTCAGGAGTTCGAGATCAGCCTGGCCAACATGGTGAAACCCCATCACTACTAAAAATACAAAAATTAGCTGGGCATGGTGGCAGATCCCTGTAATCCCAGCTACTTGGGAGGCTGAGGCATGAGACTCGCTCGAACTCGGGAGGCGGAGGTTGCAGTGAGCCATTGCACTGCAGCCTGGGCCACAAGAGCAAAACTCCATCTCAAAAAAAAAAAAAAAAAAAATGTACTCAGAACACTTACATTCCCCTGCAGTTGGACAAAGTCACCAAATACAAGGCCTATTTTACAATAGCGTGTTAAGTATCTCATGTAATGTATTAAATACTGTACTAAAAGTGAAAAACAGAATAGTTGTTGGATACTCGAAGTATGGTTTCCATTGAATGTGTATTGCTTTTGCACCATCGTAAATTTGAAAAATTGTAAGTCAAGTCACTATAAGTCAGGGACAGTCTATATATACTTGACAAGGCTGACAGGTCTTCTGTGCTTTCTGGGGGCAACCCCAAGGCAAACTCTCCCTTTCTCTTTCTCTCTCTCTCTCTCTCTCTCTCTGTCTCTCTCTCTCTCTCTGTCTCTCTCTCATACACACACACACTCAGAGCTCTAGGGTCAGCGCGGTATCTGGTCAGGGGAAATCACAGACATATGTCCCTGGATGCTATACAAATGCAGGGAGTCATCCTCAGAATAGAGAGGTGTTGGGACCTTCCAGGATTTGAATCTGATGAACAGGAGTTGTTAATATTGACTTCATCTCTGAACAGCTTCGTGAGCTTGGACAGGTTAATGCCCCTTGTGAAGACTCAATTTTCTCATCTGCAAAGTGGAGATCATCACATGCACTTTACAGAGTTCTTTGGAGGGTTCCATGAGGTGCTAGAGTGCCTTGCAGTGGTTTTCAAACTGCTCTGAAGTCTTGGGGCTGTTTGCACCTGTCTCAGGGCCACCATGGGAGACTAGGGAGAGAGCATGGGGCTCCACACTCCTTCCCCGCTCCAGCCAGAGCAGCTCCACTTGTATCTGCTTTATATACAGGACTTTCCTATGAAGTTCCCTTTAAACAAAGGACTTCATGGCTCCAAAAAGTTAGAAAATCACCCCGTTGGCACTGGTGTGCTGAGTCCTGATGCCTGGCACAGAGAAGGTGCTCAATCATCGTTTGCTCCCTGCTCTGTGCCAGCCTGCCAGGCCCGGGAGCTCACTGGGGGCAGGGTGCCGGCCTGGGGAGGAGCCTGGGCTCCAGGCACTTGTACTGAATGTGCCAGAGCAAGGCAGAGACAGACAACCAGGGGCTGGAGACTCCGGGATAGCCTCTGGGCAGATTCCTACCTGGAGTCCCTAGCTCCCACAGCAGTGCTGGGGAGAGCTGGGTGTGTGTGCGTGTTTATGTCCCAGTGTGCATGGATATAATGCTTGCGGGTATCTGTCTGTTGTGTCTATATGTCTCTGTGTATATGTGTGATCTGAGTTTTGTGTCTGCATGTATGCATGTGTCTGTGTATGATGATGTCTGGTCTTTGTGTGTGTGTGTGTGTGTGTGTGTGTGTGTGTGTGTGTCTCGGGTGTGAGGACTCAGCCCCTTGCCTTGTTTCCCTGCAACCCACCAGGAGGTTTTCATCACAGATCCTTCGCCTCCACCTCCAGTAGTCAGGATTGTCTGTTATCTCTATTACCATAAGTAATTACCGTGGGTAATCATGAATAATCCAGCCCAAGGATCCTGGGTACCCTCCAGGGATCAAGATATACAGCCTTAGAGGAGACTGCGGGGGAGGGGCCGGTATCCAGGAGCACCAGGGCTTGCCCTCGGGGAGCGCTGGAGACCCATCAGCCTGATCAGATGTATATTGAGCTCCATTGTGTGCCACAGCCTTGGGTGAAAACACACACACACACACACACACACACACACGCAGAGTCTGGACTAAAGGTTGGAGCTCGTTGCCTCCCTAAAGGTGAGGCAGTTGGCATCCAGTCCTGCCCTGCATTCATTTCCATCACAGTATTTACTGACTATGTGCCAGGCATTGTGCTAAGCACAGGGAGATAGTAATAAAGTTACTGCCTCTACAGAGCTCCCTGACCACCTGAGTGCAGCCTAGGATGTGCTCATGAGTTCACCGATCAGTCATCTCCCCATACCATCTGCCCTATTATGCGTTCTAGAATGCCCAGGATGGAGGAGGCCTTTTCGTCAGGAGCAAGGCTGGAGTGGAGCTATGCCAGGCCCAGAGCTGGCCCTGCGAGCCCTAAGCCAGCCAAGTCTCGCCCAGGCCAGCTGCCCTGGTGCAGGGGTGCAGGCGCAGACTGGCACAGGCGAGCACAGGCTGTCATCAGCAGGGGCTGGTCCTGCGAGGCACCAGCACATGGGGGAGTGGACTGCTGGGGGGTTCAGGGCACCAGGGGGAGCTGGCTGAATTGTCGGGCCCAGGAAACAAAGGGCCTGGGGGACAGCTGGGGGACAGAAGGCTGTGAGTGGGGCTCCAACACACGACAGGGTTTTCTGGGGTAAGGCCCCCTGCACGGAGCCAGTCAGAAAATAAAAGGTACACCCTCCACCCCAGAGTGCTGCCTATTGGGACGCCCAGCTCCTGGTCCTGAATCTCTCTCCTCTTCTCCCCAGTAATGGAGATTGGAGAGCAATGAGAGATTTGGCAACTTCCGATGGATGGTGGTAGGAAAGGAGAGTTTGAAGCCCAGCTGTGGGCAGAGACTAAGTGATTTATTATCAGCCTACAAGGTACTCGAGGAGCCCTTCAGGTCCCCGCTTGACCTCTATCCTATAAAACAGCACACTGGTTAACAGGGCAGGCTATTGGGTCAACCTGCCTGGTGCTGTCTAGCTAGCATACCCCTAATACAACCAACTAGTATAATCCTGGTTATCACAGTCATTTCTTAACCAGTCCCAGCCTCACTCTCCCATCTGCAAGAGTGGGATGAGAAGGGTAGGACCTGCTTCATGGGACTGCTGTGAGGTCAGCACCGTCACAGGCTCATAGTGAGTGCTCAGGAAAGATCAGATCTTAAAACTGAGAAATCTCACAGCCCTGTGTCCACAGCCACTGTAACTGTCTGGCTTACTTCTATACAGTCACAACATCCAGGTGGCACTCATATGTATTTAGGAGACTGACAAACCCACAATCTCCTGGACAGGTGCCTCCCTCCTCTTACACCCCACAGGTGCAACGGTCATAGGTAAGCACTAGCACACCACCCCAGACTAGGGCACAAGGACACAGCCCCCATGACAGAGTTATACCTGGTACAATGTGCTCAGGGGCTCACGCGGCCAGGACAGGTACTCCTTCTCAACCGCCCTCACCTCCTGCCTGGTGGGATCTAAGATCAGTACCCTTTCCTTTGCCTAAGACAAGAATTGCCCAGGAGGCAAGCACCATCATCCTCCAGGAAGGTCTGAACCACCCCCATGTCCCTCTGGTCAGTACAGGGCCCTGCGGTGGCATGGGTGGGGGCTGCTAGGATCTCAGCGTGCCAGGCCAGGCAGCAGCTGGAAGGTGCGGGGTGAAGGATTGTTATTGAGGGGTCTCTGTGGTACCCTGAGCTGCAGACATCCTTAGGGGAGATATGCAGCCCTGTCCTTCCTTAGTCCCCTCTGTGTGCTGCTCAGCTCTGTCTGCAGGCTCTTTGTGACTGCAGCTGCTTCCCTGAGGCCCAGCCCTCGTGCTGACGTGCCCTCTGGGGACAGCTGTGGCTCCCAGGCTCATGGGTTTGTTTGAGCTTCTAGCATTGGGCAGGGGGGAGTCTGGCCCTTGATCTGAGCCTAGAGTCTTTGCCCCTGCAAGAGAGACCTACTCTAACAAAGAGACCCTATAAAGTAGGGAGTGGACAGAAGAGGAGAGGCTTCCGTCCTCCTGGGAAGCTCAGGATCAGGAGCCAGCCATCCCCAGACCATAGGTGTTCCTACTTGCCTGCCCTGCTCTGTGTGTGGTGTAAAGCAGTGAATGAGCACTTTAGAAGGATCCCTTTTTGAGATGCCAGGCATAAGAACAATGGTTTCAACTTGTTTCTGAAGAAGCAAATCAGGAAGAAAATTTCCTCCTGCATTAGCAGAGCAATTTCTGCATGTCCCCACAACTCTGCTGCAAGGAGGCTCCCCCCACTTCCTAGACAGCTTCCTCCAAAGTGGTTCAGCACTTAAGCCTGGTGGAGGTGGGGTCCAAACTGCTCCTCCTCTCAAGCTAGTTTCCTTTGGATTTGGGGTCCAGATTAGCTTCACCTCTTGGGCAGCACTGCAGGAAGGCTGCCCTCCAGCCAGGCACAGGGTGGGAGAACCCCTTGGTCCTTGAGGGTGGCAGGCACTGAGAAGATGTGGGTTTGGGCTGGAGGAAACCCAGCAGGTTTGACTAAATGGGTGTGTGTGAGAGGCTGGCGTTGACATCCCCATCTGAGTAGGGAACTTAATGGCTCATTGGGTAAGAAGGACGCTGAGATGTGTTTGGGCCTGAATGTGTCCTGGGATGGAAGGTGTTCGGGTTTCGGGTGAGAACATTACGCACCTTGCTTTTGTTTGCATCCTCTTTGGTAAACAAAGAAACATGGGCTAATCTTGTAGCAAGGAATCATCAAACTGAAGAAAGCACTTACTCCAGGATGATTACCATCAGGACACAGAGCCCACAGAAACTCCCATAAACGTTCCAGGTTAGCAACAGCCTCTGGGGGGTTGGTCTAGATTGGGGTTGTGGTCCTGAGGGATGAAGGGGTGGCCAGCATGCATGAGGGAATGAAAAGGATGTCTGCCTTCTTATGGATTCCTGAGTCACATCCACCTTTTACCATTTGAAACAGGATTACTGGAAGTTGGAAGAAACTTACAGGGTCAACCAGCCCAACCTTTGCCTCTAGGCAGGACTCTCTAACCTTGGACCAGACCCCAGTTCTCCACACCATCCTTAGAGTCATCTGAAAGGAGACTGCCCCACCTCTTCATGGCTCACCCTTCTAGCCACGAAGTATCTCCTGCAGTCTAACTTAAGTCCCTCTGGCTTCCCTGGCATTTTCTTTGCTGTGGTTCTTCCTCCCCTGCGTATCAACCACCTCTTCTCCAACCCCCTGGTTCTGCCCTAGGAATCCCTCCAAAAATACAAATACCACCCACACTCAGGCTTAGAGATTGTCTTTGAAATACGCTTTCTCACCAACGTTTGGCTCGAGGAGGTTTCTGAAGAGGGGACTACGCATCCTCCAAACCACCCCAAACGCATTGCTTCCCTGGTGGCTTTAGAGGCAGAAAGGATGCCTTGGGGTCCTCTGTCTATGTACATGCTCCTAAAGCGTAAGTTTGGTCAGCCAGAGACGAGATGTGCAGCCACCCCGTTGAGCACAATTCCTTGGAGGTCCATCCCACATGTGCCTCTATTTGAACAACTGCTGGCAGAGAAGGTGCTGGAATGGAGTTGCATAAGGAGTGAAATCTGGCAGGGGAAATGGTGGGCGGGGGGGAGGCCTAGGGCCGAAGCCGGTGGAGTACATGCGACCAGAGAAGGGAGTGCGAGGAAAGAAGGAGTAGAGGAAGGAAGGAGAGTAAGAGAGAGAGAGCCGGGAATGAGAGCAGCCTCCCGGAGTCTGGGGCACTCATCTCCATGAGCAGTGTGCCTCTGCTTCCCTCACTGCTCATGGTGTCAGCACCGTGGTCTCTGCACCCGTGAGGCAGGTGGACCTCGGGTGACTTTGACATCATTGGCTCAGGGGCCCTTTCCTGTCTGTCTTACCTCCTGCCTCCCTCTTACTGGCTGAGGACTCCCACAGGCGATTAGGAAGGACTTCGACCTTGTGGCAAAAGCCCTGTCTGTGGTTCTGCAGCTTGGCTAGAAAGGGGTTAACTGGTGGGCACCCTGGGGAGGGGCTTGGATGCTGCTGTCTTTAAGGGGAGAGCTCCCTTCTCCCAAGGCCAGGAGTGAGGGCACCTGTTGTGACCTCCAGGCCATCTCCCTGCCCCACCCCCGGGAGGTGCTGTCACAGCAGCCTCTCCCACAGGTGGCCCACCTTTTGCTGCACTCGATCTCCAGTGGCTCATTCGGCCCCTCTGAGCGAGACCAGGAGGTAGACAGACTTGGAGCCTAAGTGAGCTGAGGGGTCTTTGGCCAGAGAGTTGGAAGAGGAGGCTGAAACTGTTGCCCAGACGAGACCAGAACATCACCTGTGCACTGGGTTTCTTGGGCTGTTCCTCCTCCCACCTCTTTCTGAGCAGAGGGAAAAGATGCTGAAACCCACTTTTCTCCAGGGCTGGGGCCATGGCATGCACAACCCCACTCCCTCCTGATCTCACTGGATCCCCCCACCCCTAGGACACAGGCTCAGCCCCCAGTAGTCTGGGGCTAGAGGGTGCCCGACTCCGTCTCCAAGTAGCAGCAGGACTCTCCCCTTCCGTAGGCACTGCCTCCTCCACGTCCCGCTGCTTCCCAGACCTGAGAGACCCTCTTGGAGAAGGTGACAGGATTCAGCTCCGGACACGCACCGGCTGGGGCTGCCCCCCACCTCTATCCCATTACGTAAGCCCCATGGTGCTGGGCAGAAGGACTTCCCTCTCTTTCCAGAACCCCCCAGCTCTGCCCCCTCCCCTCCCCACACCACTCTGGCCCCAGCCCCTTTCCTTACTGGAAAGCCAAACTTTGTGCAAATCCTTCCCTCCCACCAGTGAGGACAGAGGGGAGGGATTTGAGGAGAAGCTAAGGTTGGGAGGGGGAAGGGAAGGAAAGGAATTTCAGCCTGGTGGCCCCAGCCTCTCGCCTTTTGGGATGTGACTGGCCTCAGGACTCTCCTCCCCGAGTCCCAGTTCCTGGACAGGCCTTTGCCCAAACTTGTGCTCCACTCTCCCCTCTCTCTTCCACAGCCTCCCCCTCCGTCCAACTGAAGCAAGACTTTGCAAAGAGGTCACCCTGCAGAGGTAGACCCTGGGTAACCTCAAATCTGAGGACTCCGGCTCAATTCCATGCAGAGACTTCTGGGACAGGCCAAGGCCCAGGGCCTGGCCGTATGGACTGGTCCTGTCCTGGACCGGGTGCCCAGGGCCGGCCCAGGAGAAACTGCCCTCTCCACAGGCAGCTGCCACTGCCCGCTGGCCAACTCGAATTCCTGGACATCCTCCTGGGGTCCAGCTTTTCCGCCAAGCTCGGCCTGATAGAGCCCTGCGGGATGCCGCCCACGTAGACAGGGCGGAGGGGAGCCCCAGCACCCACCCTGAGGTAGACAGGGGCTGAGGGGAGAAGTCAGAATGGCCCCAACCTGCTAGCGTTCCTGTCCCTGTTCCCTCCCAAGTTACAAGGGGGATATTTACAGGAACTGAGCCGGGAGCCCTGGCCCATGACAACGCGCAGGGAAGCCCCTGGGTTGGAGAAGACAAAAGCGTTTGGCACCTACCTGGGGCGAGAGAAGGGTGTTGGCTGGGGCAGGTGGACGCTGCCCGAGTCGGTGAGCCAGGGCCGGCCGGGCCGCCAGCCCCTGGGCCGCCCTCCTCTGGGCCCTGGCGGCCTCAGCCACTCGCTGTCCGGGTGCGGCGGCGGCCGCGGCGGCGGTGGCGGGTGAGGGCGCGTGTGTGTGAGCGCGCCCGGAGCCACTGCAGCATCTCTGCATCAAGATGTGCTCCTCCCTCTCCCAAGCTCCGCTCACTGGCTGGCTCCGGTCCTCAGCCAACGCTCGGGGGCCCTGGAGATGGCTTCCTTCTGCCCCCCTCCCACCCCCCTTCCGTCCCCACCCTCCTGGCTTTACCTCATTTGCTGTCATTTAAGGACCAGGGAGCGAGCCCAGCGCGTGTCTTCCATAATGCATGGGCGGCTCTTGGACAGGCCGCGGGGCGCTGTCTGGCCCGCCTGTCCTCCCGATCCTGCCCAGCCACACTTCTAGTGCCCAGGGCCGAAGGGGCAGGAGAGGGGCGGGGTGAGGAGGGAAAAGAAAGTGGCTCTTACTCCTCAAATCCTGGAGACCCATGGAGCCAAACCTCCTTGTTTCCCCAGAAATCCTCTATCAGAGGAACAGATCCAAACCAGAAACCCCAGCTTGCTCTGTGGGGCAAGTGGGAGGGAGGGGCTGTCTCTGTTTCCCGGTCCACCCCATGTTCCTCTTTATTGTTTCCCTTCTTCAAAAGTAGTTTGAGCTTTTTGTCAAAATATCTAAATGTTAGAGGACATTTAAAAATACATAGTGAAAGTCCCTCAACCACTGCTCTTAATACATTTAAGCACATGCCCCCAGGTTTATGATTTTCATGTATACAATTACATGGGTTATTAGGGTTATTTCACACAAAAGTGATGACATAAAACAGTAGGACCGGCAAAACACTTTTCACTGTGTAACTGATCTTGGACACTTTTGTGCATCAGTAGGTTTGGATCCAATCCCATTTTTAAGCAACCAGCAGTGCAATGTCATGAAAAATTCCCTGGATTAGGGGTCTGGGTGTCTGAAGTATTCTCTGGGCTCCGCAACCAACTGGCTGTGTGTGCTTGGCTGAGTGCCCTGCCCTCTCTGAGCCTCACTGGTACCTGAAGGGATTAAAAATGGAAACAGTCCCGCCAGCTCTGAGATTCTAAGTGCTCACCCTTGTCAGCGATGCATTTCTCCTGCCCTGCTCCTGTCACGTGAGGGAGTGCCCAGGAAGGCTGTGGCCCGGAGGCGGAGGGACCAGCCATCTGCAGCACCAGTCGGCCCTGTCAGGCTGTCACTGTTGTCTCACCCCCCTCTGATCTGCCTGCTGTCCAGCTTGCACAGGCAAGATCGGTGAGCAGTCCAGCTGCTGCAACAGCTGGCAGGGCCAGGCCAGCCTCCCAGTTTTAAATGGCTATACCTGTCAAGCCTGGATCATGGCTCCATGTCTCCCTGAGTGGAGAAGGTCCTGGGGACCTGGGCCAGAATGAGAGGATCTGGAAAAGGAGAAGGAGTCGGGGAGGTTCTGCTGCTCAGCCCCCAAGGCTGGAATGCCTGCCCAGTCCCCACATACGCTCCCCTCCCTTCCTTCTGAGCCCCTCCAAAGGTCTTGCCCAACTTGAGAGACAGTCTTCTTTGTTCCTGATGGGGAGGACTTGAATTTTGCTAATGATGTTTCTTAAATAACGTTGAATGTCATGTAGATAGACACATCAACCCCTTGCCAGGATATCTTTCCCTTCCTGCCCCTGCCCACACTGTCCTTGCCTGTCTGTATGTCTGAGGGCTGGTACATTGGCTCTGAGCTCCTGAGGTGAACCGTGCTCTTTGACACCACTCAAGTTCGCCTGGGCTCCAAAGAGAGGCTCTGCAAGTTCTCTCCCAGCAGAAACCGGCAGGAACAGGTCCTTGCCAAGAAAAGGATGCTATGTCTGCTGCAGGGGACTGACGGGCCAGGAAATTGGCTGGCCCAGGAACCAACTGTCTGAAAATGCTTGCAAGGATTGCTCTAGACGGAGACAGCTGTCTTTGTGACTCTATTTTAGGACAGCTGCTACCCTGTGGTAGGAGCTGGCTCTCTGGGGAGGGTCATTAGCACAGGTGACTTGGGTCTCAAAGACTCAGATCTCAAAGCAACCAGCATGCTCCATGTGGACGCTGGCAGACACAATAAGGGAAAACAAGAACATTTGCCAAGCCTAGACTTGGATGGGGAGACAGTTCCCAAAGTCTCATCTTCTCACTTGTCTGAAGCTCTCGGTGAAGTCTGGTATGAATGAGTCTGGGGGGATTAGGGGGATCTGCACCACCAGGCCTTGAGATGCTCCTGTTCCTGAGGAGAGAGTGGGGTGGGCATTTGGGGGTGCAGGCTGAGGTTTGCTCGTGGGGCCCATTAGCTTGATAATAACAGAAATAATATCTGTTTTGAATGCCTCCCATATGCCAGGAGCTGTGCTAAATGCGTTATCTGAATTACTCGCCCAAGAGGTCCATGTTCTTATTATACTCATTTTTCAGATGCTGCTCAGTAAGAGTAAGCAACTTACTCAAAGGCAACAGTAAACGAGTGGAAGCCTGGGCAATGTGGCGAAACCCCATCTCAACAAAAAACACACAAAAAGTAGCCAGTGTGGTGGCACACACCTATAGTCCCAGCTACCTAGGAGGCTGAGATAGGAAGATCACCTGAGCCTGGGAGGGTGAGCCTGCAGTGAACTGTGATCGTGCCACTGCACTCCAGCCTAGATGACAAAGTGAGGGCTGGGATCGGCCTCCAGCATCCTGGCTTAGCCACCATGCTGTGGACTCCAGCTACCTACTGTCTGTTCTTTCGAGGTGGGCAAAATAGGGGGCAGAACAGTTTCTTCTTCTTTGATGACAGCCAGAGCCTAGAATCTTCAGTGCAGCTGACCATAAGGGCTGCCTCTCCTTTCTGTGGCCAGTCAGTATGACTCTATGTCGTACTGGGACCCCATATCTCAAAGTTGAGTCCCCACAGACTTTTAAGGAGGGCAAGAAAGGGCCTGCTGAAGATAATCAGGTGATTAATCAAATGGCTTATAAATTTGTCTGCAAACATGTGGTGTTCCCTTGGTGGTGGTGGGTGGGGGTCAGAAGGCATTCTGAGGGCCACCCAACCCTGCCCCGACCATCTGCTTCTTCCTACTGTAGCCGCACAAGATTGATAGTAATGGAGTCCAGTGGGTCTCTCTAACCGATCAAGAAGGGACCTTTAGGCCCTGTCCCTGGGGACAAGTGGGAAGGAGATGAGACCCTGCCATGGCCCCAGGATGCTGCAGCTTTGCTGTCTCTTTCCTCACCAGTCCCCACCTCACCTCTCCTCTCCTGGCCTCTTCAGCCACCAGCATCTTTGCCCAGACCCTTTTCCCGGGAGGCCATGTATTTATGGAGCAGCTCCTCTGCCTGGAATGTGGGGATCCAAGAGCCAGGGGATGCAGTCTTCAAAGTGCCAGTGACCTTTTTGGAAGCAGTGTGACAGTGGTAAGAGGACCGTCCATCCACAGCTCTGGGGAAGACTGATATGGCCATGAGGCAAAGCTCTGCAGACAGACCCGTTTGACACCTGTCCTGCTACCGAGGAGCTGTGAGGCCATGGGCGAGCCGCATACCTCTTCACCCAGAATGTGGGGATGAAGACACACACCTCACTGAGCTGATGTGAGTGCTGAATTACACATGAAGTATCTAGCACAGCAGGTGCTCGGAAAATGCCAGGATCTCCCTTGTGGGATTTAGCCTCCCCCTCCTGTAAAACAAGGATATGAGGCAGAACAGGAAGGGCTGCAAGTAGTTGGGGTGGCTCTGAATTTGTAGTCAAGAGAACTGGACTGTGTCCCAGCTCTGTCACTCCTACCTGGATGACACTGGGCAGGTGACAGAATGACACTTAATTGCCCAGAGAATCCATTTCTTCATCAGTAAAATAGGAATGACCCTACTCCTATCTAGGATGGTAGTGAGGGTATGTGAATTAAACATAATGGTTTTTAAAAGCACTTTGAATTACAAGGTGCCATATCAAATACTGATGGTCATTCCCTCAGCTATGCAATTCAGAAAGTAGGGATTATCTCATCACTCCGTATTCTCCCAGTCCCCCACCCTCCTGCTTAGCACTGTGCCTGGTGCATAATGGAGACTCAATAGATATTTGTTGACTGGGTGAATGAATGAAAGAGAATAGCTATAGTAAACATTCAGAGGATGAGGAGAGAGGGAGGTAGGATGTGGGTGAAGGTTTCAGTGGGGGTGGGTGGGTGCATCTTGAATTGAGCCTGGATGGACAGAGAGGAGGTGGGGAATACGTTTCTGGCATAGGGGCATGTGGTGTGGCAGGAGCCAAGAAGTGGGGCCTGGGAAGAGCATGATTTGTGTAATGCCTGGAGGAGCCCAGTTGACCTAGCAGCGGTGCTGGAAGGAAGATCTCAATGCCCTGTCTGCATTTGCCTTCCTAATTTCACATGAGGGCCCAGAGGGGTCTGTGGCCCGGAGGGGCCTAATTATTCTCTTTGCCATTTCAACCTGGAGCTCTTGCAGTTCCTTTTTCAGGCTTATAATAGATGATGCTAATGTCATTATTAATATTTAATAGTAATGATGCTAATAATGCCCTGCATTTATGTGGTCTCTCCAAAGAGCTCAAAGAACCCTGAGTTCTTTTTTTTATGAAACAATTTGGCTAGTGTGGAAGGTGGGAGGGGCAGGAGGGCAGGGCAGTAGAGAGGGACTGAGTCACAAAGAAACCAAAGCCAGAAGGGTGAAATGATTGGGCCAAGGGCACAGAGCAGTGGGGGTGGAGCTGGGCTAGGACTGGGTCTGTGGGTTCCCTGCCTGGAGCTCTGTCCTTGACTCCCCCAGGTCATCTGGGTTTAAGGAGGATGTTCCTGGTGGGGGCATCTTTTGGACCTGGTAAGAGCCATGCCATCCAGAGGATATGAGAGAACAGTCTTGGGGGCACCTATGACCCTGGAAGTGGGCTGGGCTGAAGAACAGATAACCTTTGGCTCTGTCTGTCCTTTACTAAGCCTGCCCAGGGTGGCTAATAGGGAGCCATGGAACATGGGAGGTGGAAAGGGTAGGCGGGGACACTGGAGTCCTTTACTAGATTCTGCAGGCCTCCCTGAGCCTTAGTCCAGACCCCTATTTTCCAGGATCTCTGGGTGTCTGATGTACAACCTCTTGGAAGCAGTTTCAATCAGCCCACGTCAGTGTGGAATCTCGGGGCTGCTGTATAGTGTTACACAAGGAGCTCCTCCATGAAGAGCAAT